CCGATGGTGCATGGTCCTTTTGGGTTGCCTTCACCAAAGCAACTTGATAGGATGAATTATGGAGAGAGAGGATTAATTATGATTTATTAATATATTATGAGAATAATATATTAAAGGAGAAATCATATTGTTTAATTAATATTAGTCAATAATTAATTAAGAATTAATTTTGTGGCTAAAAGAGATTAATTAAACTTAGGAGACTGGAATTGTAATTATAAGATAATTGCAATTGGGCTATGGATCACCTTGGAATATAGGTTGGACGAAATCTATGGGAAGCCCATATGATTTTCGTACAAGGCATGTTCCAGAAGGGGTTCATGGGCTGCTTAGGGCTTAAGCAGTCAAATTAGGGTTTCCTTGTTAGATAACCCTAATTGCCTACCTATTTAAAGGCCCCTTGAGACCCAAAAACGTGGCTAACCTTTTCAAGAGGGTTTCTGGACGTTTTTGGAGTTCTCATTCTCTTGCTCTTGGTGTTTGTGAGCCATTAGAGGAGTGACATTTGTGACTCTAAGCTTTCAGAAGTCAATTACAAGAAGGAATAGATTGTTATTGCTACATAACAATCAAGGTAAGATCTAAGCCCTTATTCTTATGTTAATATTGATTATCACATGCTAGATCTAGGGTTTATGGCTTTGGATGATTATTGCATGTTCATTAGACAAACAAGATCCAAAGCTTTAGGGTTTGCATGTACACCATAGGAATGTTGTAGTGCTCATAACCCATCAATAACTGCATTTCATGATTATGAAATATGGCAAATGGATGTTAAAACCGCTTTCCTTAATGGAAAAGGCTGAAGTTGTTTACATGAGTCATCTAGAGGGTTTTGTCAATGCAAAGTACCCTAATAGAGTGTGTAAGCTTGAGAAGTCTATTTATGGATTGAAGCACGTATCTCGTAGATGGAATCTTTGTTTTGATGAGAAAGTCAAAGAGTTTGGATTTTCGAGAAGCGAGGATGAGTCCTATGTATATGTCAAAGTTAGTGGGAGTATAGTGAGATTTCTGGTATTGTATGTAGATGTTATACTACTCATAGGAAACGACATCCCAACCTTGAAGGAGGTTAAGTCCTGGCTTGGGAAGTGTTTCGCTATGAAGGACCTCGGAGAAGCTGCCTATATCCTAGGGATACGGATATTGAGAGACAGAAGTAAAAGACTAATAGGACTTAGTCAAAGTATCTACTTGGACAAGGTGTTTAAACGCTTCAACATGGAGAACTCCAAGAAAGGTGACTTACCTATCCAAGGCAATGCCAAACCGAGTAAGACTTAGAATCCGAGTACAGAGGCTGAGATAGCAGAAATGAGTCACATACCATATGCTTCCGCAGTTGGTTCGATCATGTCGGCTATGACTTGTACTCGCCCTGATGTGGCATTTACTTTGAGCATGGTCAACAAATATCAAGGGAATCCTGGTAAAGCTCATTGGACTGCAGTTAAGAACATTCTTAAGTACCTGCTGAGGACTAAGGATTGGATCCTTACCCTTGGTGGGAGTGATGACTTGAGAGTGACAGGGTATAGCGACGCCAGCTTTCAAACCGACAGAGATAATTTCCGCTCTCAGTCGGGCTGGGTGTTTACCCTGAGTGGAGGAGCAGTGACATGGAAAAGTTCCAAGCAGGAGACTGTAGTTGATTCAATGTGCGATTCAGAGTACATAGCAGCAAGCGAAGCATCGAAGGAGGCGATATGGTTGAAAAACTTTATCGGAGACCTTGGAGTCGTTCCATCCATAAAGAAGTCTATAGAGATTTTTTGCGATAATGAAGGTGTGGTTGCCTTAACCAAGGAATCGAGAGATCATGGTAGATCCAGGCACATCGACAGAAAATACTACTTCATAAGACATCAGGTAGAAGAAGGGCACCTCATGGTAAAGGGGATATCGTCAGAGGACAACCCAGCAGATCCTCTTACAAAGGGACTGACCAGGGTTAAACACTTGCAACATGCGAGGAGCATTGGGCTAAAGGACGATATTAGTTTTAGTAATTAGATAAATCGAAACTTGTAATAGCTAAATTGTAATTGACATTTGATGATTGAATAAAAGGAGTTTTATTTATAAGTAAAGTTACTGTCTTGTGTCAATTATTTACTATTGTTTCACTTTGCATGTTTTGACTTCCAGAATAATAAAATTATGATTATTATTATTGAAACTCTCCACAGTCGATCATACGTTGGAAGTAAGTATGAAATAAGACTTTCATGAGTTGGCTTGTAGATTGTCTAAGGAGTTAGGCATAGCAATAGTTTGCTACACCATTCATGAGTGCTCTTGAAAAATAAGATTTGAGTATTGGATTCAACTCGCGCTCACCTAAATCACTTCATGGAATTTATCACGAGTGATTGTGAGACGATAATATCATATAATCTTCAAACCAAGATATATGAGTTGTTGACTATGAGTTGGTTGTGCATTGATGGCATGAAAACGCATCTATAACTTGGTGTTATAAAACATGTCGTTGTGCATGATTTGATGAGTAGTTAGTACAAGCATATAATGTCAAAGTTTATCTGTTCCTTTTATCCTAAGAGGATTAAAAACGATATCTTGGGCCCCTCGATGATTCTGCTTTGACTTATGTGTCGGGCCCGATCAGAACTAAATTGATGTGTTCAGTTATGTTCTATGTCAGACGAATCAGAAATCGGGAAACAAACTACTGGATAATAAGTATGACATTGTTCCATGTATTTGTCTAGCTGATATCTTGAGAACAGAGGAGTATATAATCACTTATCTGAAGGACGAATCACCAACTAGGTCAGAGTTCGACAGCGGCTTTTGAAAGCTTACGATTGGTAAGTTAGATCCTGAAGTACATTAGCAGTAATAGTTATTAGACTTATCCAAGTGGGATACTGTTGGATTTGGTGTCTAAGCCCATAACTATAACTGTTATGTACTTGAACCGATTGTAGCATGGTCCTTTTAGGTTGCCTTCACCAGTGCAATTTGATAGGATGAATTTCGAGAATAAGGTTATTTATGGTTTATTAATATATTACAAGTATACTATATTAATATGGAATTATTTATTTTGTATTGATCAAGAATTAATTTATTAATTTTGTGATCAAAAGAGACTAATTAAATATATGGCGACTGATTATGTAAATTAATCATTCTTGTAGTGTGGGCTAATGATCCATGATTATAGGCTAAACTAATCCATGGATAGTCCATGGAGGTTAAACCCATGGAGCATGAGAATGTGGAAAGTCATGGGTTATTAGGGTTTACCAAGTGTAACCCTAACATGTCCAACACTATAAATAGAACCCTCCATAGACCAAAATCGGTTGCACCATCTCATTGAGGTAAATAGATTATTCTCTAAATCATCCTCTTGCATATTGGTATTTGTGAACCATTAGAGGCATCACACTTGAGGTGCTCAAGCTTTCAAGGGTCAAGAACTACAAGTCCTTCAAAAGGTATGTCATCTATCTAGATGTTTTATTCAATTGACAATTTGTATGCTAGTTAGGACAATGCTTTGGAAAAATTGAAAATGTGCATGTATGATAGAGAAAACATAAATCCAAAGCATTTAGGGTTGCATGTGCACCATAGGAGTGTTATAGTGCTAAAAACCCAACAGCTATCTCACATCTGTTACTTATGGTTATGCATTCTATGTGGGTTAGCTGGTAGTGGGACTGTATGTTGTGAGGGGATTAGTAGGCAGTAGTGAGAATTATGATTGTTGTTTGCATGTATTATGTGCTTACTTGATCCTGATTGTTTATATGTCGACATATTGTGTTTGGTTTGGGTTGAGGCGGTCCTGCTTTGTGCGGTAAGCCAAGATACCCGGTGCGGGTCGGCTGTAAGCCGTAGGCATGGAGGCTCGGGAAGAGCGGTAGGGTTGAGGCGGTAGGGCAACAAACCCTGGGTATTCCAGCCTGATGGCTGATTGGACCTGTTGTATATTGGCATTCCAACCTGGGGTATTACATCCCGAGGATGACTGAACTCCGAGGTTGACTGGGCCTGGGGTATTCCAACCCGATGGTTGACTGGACCCGACATGTTTGATTGTATATGTGATATGTTTATATGGTTGTATTTTGGGGGAAACTCACTAAGCTTTATGCTTACCCAGTTGTTTATGGTTTCAGGTATCATCGGTTATTGTTGGAAGGCGAAGGCGGGGACTGTACACACTCATCAGCAACATTGAAGATTCCGCGTTTCTACAGTACTCTGATTTTTAATAAATGTAATTCGGAATAAATGGTTTTCTTAATTAATGAATTAATATATTTGGAGGCTTTATCTTAATAAAAATGAAAATTTTTTGTTGTGAAAAAGGAATGTTACAGATAGACTGTATTCGAGGGTAATGGCAGCTTAACGACACTGATGTCGTTATGGTATTGAGTTGGGTCTTTTTCGCTATGGTGTTGAGTTGGGTCTCTTTCGCTAAGTCTGTGGCGTATTTTGGGGATGCGTTATCAATGTTAGAACGAAAATTTTGAAAAAATGTGTTGGAATTTTTGAAATTTTTTTCTAAGTTTAAACATAAAAAAATCTTAAAATATAAGTTGTTTTGTTTGACAAATTATAAACCATATTAGGTATACTTAATAATTTAAATTGATATGATTTATTTTTTTTATTTGTTGGGCTATTTCTTTTTTATGCGAACTTAATTTTTTTTAGTTTGATCTTAATTCTTAATCATCTAATATATTAAACTATTTTTTAACATTATATAAATATTTAATAACTAATATATTTTTTTTAAAATGTATAATCTACAGAAAAAGTGATTATTAATGGTTAAAATGATTTTAGGTCCATCTACCAAAATATCAATGAGAAGGTTGGCTGCCGACACTATATATTTGTCTTTTTGAGGCCAAGAATCCTGGTAGGCATGGAAGCAGCCTCGGATTTAGGCTTGGTAATTATTTGTTTGGTGATGGTGAGTTCTGCATCCTTTAAGCCGTCCTTACAGATCAATATACGGCCCTACAGCTACCCATGCATATTACGAACCCACCCCCACTCACCATTTTCTCCTGCAAAACACACCACTACTTCATTTTCGAGCTCAGGAAAAGAAGATAAGTACAGACAAGAAAAGCACACACTGAGTGTTTATTGTCTGCAAGATAAACCCTACCGAGGTGTTGTTGTTCTTAATTTTATTATCGTTTCCAGAAATTGTTTTTGGTTGCTTCTTTTTTGTCAATCTACTGATTTTTAGTAGGATCATTCTTTTTGCTTCTCAATTTTGCGGATAAATAGAAGTTTTGTTAATTTCTTGTTGATGATGCTACACTTTTGATTACAGAATTATCCGATTTTACTTTTATATAATTTGTGGGGTTTTCAAGATCTTGTATATATCCCCGTATGTTCTACAAATTTGCTTTAAATTTAATTCATGGAGTAAAGCTTAAACTTTATGTTGTAACCATTTTTCTTGAAAACACAAGAACCGTTGTTTAGATAACAAAAACATGTTGCACACAAAATCCGAGTCTGATATCACCAGTTTAGCCCCGTCATCACCTTCAAGATCACCAAAACGGCCGGTTTACTTCGTTCAGAGCCCTTCAAGAGACTCTCAAGATGGTGATAAATCATCATCAATACAAGCTACACCTAATTTCAGGAGTCCAATGGAGTCCCCTTCACACCCTTCTATGGGTCGTCACTCCAGGAACTCATCATCCAGTCGGTTTTCTGGGATTTTCCGGTCACATTCCGGGAGGAAAGTTCACCGGAAAAGAAACGACAAGGGGTGGCCGGAGTGTAATGTGATTGTAGAAGAAGGGAAGTATGATGAATATGACGATGAAAAGAGGTTAACCAGAAGATTACAGGCTTTATTGGCTCTCTTGAGTTTTATCGTCTTGTTCACTATCTTATGCTTGATTATATGGGGTGCTGCCAGACCTTTTAAACCTGAAATCACTGTTAAGGTTAGTAAAATATCTTTTGCTTTAAATTTCCATGAAGATCATCGTGTTAAAATTCATAAAGATTGCATCTTTTTCTAACCCATATCTTTAATCTTTGGAATCTTGAATTGGGTTTCGATTTAATTCCTATTTTTTACAGAGTTTGGCTGTGAATAGCCTCTATATAGGTCAGGGTTCAGACTCATCTGGGGTCATAACCAAGATGCTGACCATCAATAGTTCATTGCGACTTGGTGTTCATAATCCAGCTACATTCTTTGGCGTCCATGTTAGCTCTAATGCAGTGAACCTAGTCTATTCAGACATTGTGATTGTAACTGGTCAGGTTAGGACCAATTTTCACATGTTCATGTATATCAGAATAGAGTACTGAACTATGGTTAAGACTATATAGACTGAACCATGGTTACTGATCATGCTAATTTGGTTATACTCATGTGGTTTCAGTTGAAGAAGTATTATCAACAAAGAAAGAGTCGAAGAACAGCCATTGTGAACTTGGAAGCAACCAAAGTGCCCTTGTATGGTGCAGGTTCGAGTCTAGTGGTTTCTGATGCTGGAGTTTTTGAAATACCATTAAAATTAGAGTTTGAGGTTCGATCAAAAGGTGAAGTCGTTGGTAAATTGGTGACAACTAAGCATACAAGTCAAATTTCTTGCAATATAACGTTGAAATCGAATACAATCAAACCAATCAGATTCAGAAAAGATTCTTGCATCCTCAGATGAATAATCCTCTCAAGAATAAATTTGTTTCCAATATTTATTTGTATAAATGGTGTGAATTTTGATCGGATATGTGTTATTTACCCTTGAAAATGAATCATTAAATGCGTCTGAATTCCTGGAGTCAAGACTGGCCATATTTAGTAATGTTGAAAAATGTATAAATTTGGTTGGTGTGATAATAAATTGTCTTTAGTGCATCTATCATAGATATCATTCATTATTTCATAATTGTCCTAATTGAAAAAGTCATGTCTGCCTCTAGAAAAGAAGAAATATGTTTGATCCATATGGAGGAAAACTTTTATTATTGGCATGTAAGCTTGAGCGAGACTGAGTCTAAACTTATTTGATTCGAGCAAAATGACATTCACTTTTGTATATCATAGGTACTAGGTAGTATATTCATAAACAATGACGAGATCTTAGTTAATTGTTTTACGTATTTAAATATCTTTACCTATAATAATAATAAAGGACGACAACTACACTTCTTAACCCATCCTAGTCACTATGTATGGTCACTATAACACTACTAAAAACGAGTGAAATTCCCACCGTGAATTCAGTTGGAAAAGCCTATTACTGATGGAAAAATAATCCGTCGGAAAAGGTGTGGGTAAATATTACCAACAGATCCTTTGACAATAATTTATATGAAACTTTTGATGGAATATTAACAGATTGTTGATGAATTCTAGTTTTGATTGTTTACAACGGATGCGTTAACATACGGATGTCATGTTTTATTGTTTCTCATGGAATACAACGGAATCATTTATTGACATTTTTTTAGTAATAGTTTTTTTTAAACAGCGGAGTTAGTTGTTAGAAGTTAGTATCATGAAATCGACAACGTCTGGATTAGAACTCGAGACCTCCAATCTAAGAGGCAAAGCTTCTACCAAAATAATAGTTTTTTTTAGTAATAGTTTTTACTGGCAGTTTCTGTGCTAAGCCAATATTTTCCGTGTAATGATTTTCATTAGACAAATACGTATAAATACAAAACAGTGTAACATGGGCCTATACAAAACAAGGCTAACCAAGATGGGCTAATCTAGCAAATACATCATACATACAATAATATACATAAATATATAGTTTCGCTAACATCCCCCCGCAGTTTTATCGGAAGAAGAATTCTTAACGTTTAAACTGGACTTGAAGTCGTTGAAGAGTTGTGTCGGGAGACCTTTGGTGAATATGTCGGCGTATTGAGCGGATGATGGCACGTGAAATATTCGAACATCGCCCCGAGCAACAAGATCACGAACAAAATGAATAACAATCTCGATGTGTTTTGTGCGTTGGTGTTGAACAGGGTTTGATGTCATGTAAACCGAACTAATATTGTCACAGTAGTAGAGAATAGTGGCCTTGTTAGGCGGACAACGAAGCTCACGAAGAAGATTACGAACCCAATAAGTCTCTGCAACAGCATTGGCAATGCCGTGATACTCTGTTTTTGCACTCGAACGAGAGATAACTCCTTGTCGTTTGGAAGTCAAAGAAATGAGATTGTCTCCAAGAAAGTCACAATAGCTTGAGGTCGAACGGCGTGAGACCGGGCATTCGCCCCACTCCGCGTCTGAATAAACATGAAGGTCGGACGAGGGAGAAACATGCAACTATAATCTATGATTCAAAGTCCCACGGAGATAGCGCAGAATACGCTTGAGAGCATGAAGATGATGCTCTTGAGGGTCATACATAAATAAACATATATGCCGAACCGCAAATGCAATGTCCGGGCGAGTGAATGTAAAATACTGAAGAGCCCCAGCGAGACTGCAATAGAGAGATGGGTCAGAGACTAGGGGTCCAATGGCATCCAACTTATTTGTTGTCTCCATAGGTGTGCGAGCTGGATTGCACTGAGACATGTGAGCATGATGTAGGATCTCGGTGGCATACTTTCTTTGAGAGAGAAAGAGACTGTTAGGAGAACAGTGGCAAATATCCCAAGAAAGTAATTAAGGAGGCTAGTGGAAGATGCAGTCAGAATGATGTCATCCACATAAAGAAGCAAATAAGCAGTGTCGGCATGTAATGATAGATGAAGAGAGATGAATCCATAAGGTTGTGATGGAAATCCATGTGAAGGGAATGTTGAGCAAACCGCTGATATCATGCCCTAGGGGCCTGCTTCAGGCCATATAAGGAGCGTTGAAGATGACAAACATAATATGGGTGCTGAGAGTCATGAAAACTCGGAGGTTGATGCATCAAAACTGTCTCATGAAGATGATCGTGAAGGAAAGCACTCTTCACATCAAGCTGATAGATGGGACAATGTATGGAAATGGCCAGAGTGAGAACATTGCAAATGGTGGTCGGCTTGACAATTGGGCTAAAATTCTCATCACAATCAATCCCCTGCTGATGGCTGCTCCTGTTAGCCACAAGGCGGTCTTTGTACCGAGATAGAGAGCCATCAACATTAAATTTCTGTTTGAACAACCACATAGATCAAACTACATTTACACCTGGTGGTAGCGGAACAAGAACCCAAGTACCATTAGAAATAAGAGCATTAGATTCCTCATGCGTGGCTTTATGTCAGTTTGCATCTTTCAAAGCCTCTAAGTGAGACCTCGAAACAGAGGGAAGGGAGGTAGAGTGAAGGTCAAGCCAATCAATAGGCTTGACAATGCCACTTCTAGATCGTGTGCATATGATGAGTGCGATGAGGGGGAGGGTCTTGTGGAGGGGGAGATGGAGCTGCTGGTGGAGATGGAGCAGGGTTATATGGAGGAAAGGAGGTGGGTGTAGTGGCCTCTCTGTCGTGAGGAAGAGAGGTAGCGAAGGAGATAGGACCAGACTGAAGGATGTGAGGAAGGGTATGTGATACATATTAGTGTCTGAGAAAAAATCATAGGAGGGAGGTTCGGTAGGAGTTACAGAACCATATGGAAAGATACTCTCGTCAAAGGTGACATGACGAGATATAATTATCTTTCGAGTGGAGAGATCAAAGCAACGAAATCCATGATGATGAGTGGGGTAACCTAAAAACATGACGGGGTTGATCTAGGTTCAAGTTTGTGAGAAGTAGGATGGTGCGGGAAGCACAAACACCCAAACACACGAAGGTGATCATAATTGGGGTGACTATGAAAGAGACGGTAATGGGGGTGTCATTATATATGGAGACAAATGGGAGAATATTAAGTAAGTGAGAAAACATGTGAAGAGCTTCTGGCCAGAAGGTGGGAGGGAGTCAGGAATGAAAAAGAAGACTCGGCATCATTGTAACATTCATAATTTTTTTTGAAAATTTTAAACTTTTTAAACAACCACAAAACCATCATTTATCACAATTTGTTTTCAAAATAATTTTCACATCAGAGAAATCCCAAAATCGTAAAACAAAACATGAGGAGGTGCATGATCACACCTTCGCCTTCCCGCGATCCTCTGAAGTACCTGAAACATAAACCAAATTGTAAGCCCAAAGCTTAGTGAGTTCCCCCAAAATACCAATACATAACAAATAGCACAAATATAAAAACAGCATGTAATGGGTACACAACTCTACAGACAGGATTACCCCTGAGCCCACAACATAAGTATAGCTTACCCCACGGGCCTACAGCTTATGTCTGGCTTGCTCGCCGGCCTGATCAGTCAACAGACTGAGTACCGCTAAGCCCTCAGTACGAGTCTGGCATGCCCTGCCGGCCCTTAGCTCGTATCTAGAATGCTCATGAGTCCTCAGTATGAGTCTGGCATGCCCTCCCTGGCCCTCAGCTCATATCTGGCATACTCCAGGGTTTGTTGGCTACAAAACAAACACAATATGTCGACATATAATAGATAATATCATATACAAATAAACAGACAGTATCACAGGTAGTCCTACAGATCTACCAGACTAGCATATCAAATCTAGCATTCATATCTATTCCATACTCAGTATATCAATAAATATCTGATTATCAAACCAATGGGGCTTGGTGCCTTCGACCCGAAAGTATTGTTGGGTTTTGAGCATTCTAACACTCCTATGGTGTACATGCAACCCTATATAACTTGGATCTATGTTTTCTCTATTATACATGCAAATATCAATTTTCCAAGGTATCATCCTAACTAGTATATTATGGAGTATATACAATATGAAATATAGTTGAATGACATACCTTTTGTTGTAGCTTGATTCCTTGGACCTTAAAGATCTTAGTGCGCCAAGTGTTACACCACAAATGGTTCACACAACACCACCAACAATTGGAATAACTTGAGAGAAGATTATTCATACTTAAAATCGGCTAGCCCTCATGTGTTTATCACTAGTCACTCCTTAAGTACCAATTTCATGAACTATGAGGCTTCTTATATAGTGTGCACATTAGGGTTACATCATGTAACTCATGACTTTCCACATTCCTCATGATCCATGGGTTTTAACCTCCATGGAGTATCCATGGGTCACCACATGGGTTTAGCCCAAAATGAAGAACTATAGATCATAAGCCCACTTAATAAGAATGAATGATTTACCAAATCAATCCCCATTAGACCATGCTACTCTCGGGTCAAGTACATACCAATAATCGTTATGGGCTTAGACATCTAATCCAACAGTATCCCACTTGGATAAGTCTAATAACTATTATTGCAAGCATGACTCGAACCCGACTAGCAATCGTAGCTCTTAAAAGCCGTTATCGAACTCTGATCAAGTCAATGACGTGTCCATTAGATAAGGGATCATATATTCCTCCATTCTGGATATCATATGGAGTGAGACATGGATTATAATTATTCTCTCTGTCCATCTGTTGTTTCCCGATTTCCAATTTATAACGACCGACTAATTGATCAAATCAAATCAGTCAGGCTTGGCCAAGCACTTAGGAATGTCATCACTAAATCATCGAGGGGACAACAGATATCGCTTTTATCCACATGGGGTAAAAAGAACGGATAAACTTCAACCCAAATGCTCTCTTGTACTTACTCATCAAATTACACACAACGATATGTTTTATAACAACCAATTTACTAGTGCGTTTACATATGTCAATGTGCAACCGACTGGAACTACAACTCATATGTCTCCATTTGAAGAATATAAGATATTATCGTCTCATGATCACTCGTGATAATATCCATGAAGTGATTCAAATGAGCGTGGGTTGAATCCAATACTCGAATCTTATTCCAGTAGCACTCATGAACACTGTAGCAAACT